AAAAAAAAAAAAAAAAAAAAAAAATCACTAGTGAGTTAAAGTATCATAGTGAATCATATAGAAGCTGTATAAATGCAAAATTTAATCAAATTTTCTTGTTCTTATGCCAAGGTTAGGACTTATTAGTTATTAGTTATTGGGAAATGCTACGGTCTTGTTACGGTATCATCCCGTCGGGTATTTTAACCGTTGGATCCACATGTAGTTGGATAAAATAGATGTTAAAACACCCGATTGGATGGTACCATAACGAGACCGTAGTATTTACGTTAGTTATTACTATTAGGACCCCATGTATCCTCTTCCACTTACTTCGAGTATAATCTGAAACATTTGCGGCACTTCATAATATTAGTAATAAGTAATTTGCATGGCCAAGGCAAGCCTACACAAGCTTTTCCGATGAACCATCTAACCCCAAAGACATGGGGCCAGGCACACCGATACGCCGCCACGTGTCCTCTCATCTCGCCTATATATCCATGGCTTCTCGGTGCCACCGAGATTACAGTACCAAAACGAGAGAGAGAGAGAGAAGAAAGAGAAAAGCACAAAAGAACAGTTTTTTTAGGGAGAAAACAATAAATCCCTAAAACCTTGCTGGGCTTTGTTACTTTCATCTCTCTCTTTTGAACAAGAACTTGTGTGTTTTTCTTCTGAATCTAGGAAAAAACAAAAACAGAGATGTTTATCGAGAGCTTTAAGGTCGAAAGCCCTAACGTTAGGTACACAGAGAGTGAGATTCACTCGGTCTACAGCTACGAAACCACGGAGCTCGTCCACGAGAACAGAAATGGCGGCTACCAGTGGATCGTGAAGCCCAAGACTGTTCAATACGAGTTCAAAACAGAGACCCATGTCCCTAAATTAGGGTACCCACAATTTATATCTGTTAAATTCTTGAGCATTTTTGTTATTTTTTTTTTCGAATTTTGAAACTAATTTCTTTGATGGGGTTTCGTTGTTAATGATTTGTAGGGTTATGCTTGTCGGCTGGGGAGGTAACAATGGCACAACCCTTACTGCTGGTGTGATTGCTAACAGGGAGTGAGTTGTTAATTAATCCAATTTTTTTTAATTAAAATAACAATTACATACCTAAATTGTGCTGATACTTGAATTTTATGCAAAGAAATGTGCTGTTTTGTGTGTTTTTTCTGTTTTTCTCAAAAGGAAAATTAGAGGGATGACATAAAGGTTCCATTTTTATGGTTTTTCTTTTGGCTGTAAGCAGATAATTGTGAAGAAAATTTTGAGATTTTGAAATTTTTGATGTGGGATTTTGCAGAGGGATTTCATGGGCAACAAAGGACAAAGTGCAGCAGGCTAATTATTTTGGGTCATTGACTCAGGCATCCTCCATTAGAGTTGGGTCCTTTAATGGTGAAGAGATCTATGCTCCATTCAAAAGCTTGCTCCCTATGGTACTATATATCTCTTTCTATATGTATTTGTATGTATATTCTTTCATATAATGTTGTTGTCTCTATACAGAATGCAAATAACTGGAGTGTTTTATGATGAGACGGCTAGTGTTGAAGATTTTCTTGTGGAAATGGATCATCTTTTTCAAATGATTTTGCCCATACTTTGTGGATATAATAACTATTGCAGGTCAACCCGGATGACATTGTGTTTGGGGGATGGGACATAAGCAACATGAACTTGGCTGATGCAATGGGCCGGGCCAAGGTCTTGGACATAGATCTTCAGAAGCAACTGAGGCCCTATATGGAGCACATGGTCCCACTTCCCGGAATATACGACCCAGATTTCATTGCGGCCAATCAAGGCTCGCGGGCCAACAATGTCATCAAAGGCACCAAGAAGGAACAAGTCGAACAAGTCATCAAGGACATCAGGTACTTCAACAACAACAACATTAACAACTTAGTATCATTTGTTTGTATTATGTAGAAAGAATGGAAAATTTCTATTGGGAGGATTGAATTTTTTCATGTAAAATGATTATCTAGAAGATTGAGCAGATTGTTTTGAGATATGTTATGAAATACTTGAAACTGTTTGGTAATATGGTGATCTTTTGGTTAATCTTTGTCTTTTTGTTGGTTAATGGAAAAAGGGAGTTTAAGGAGAAAAACAAAGTGGACAAGGTTGTGGTGTTGTGGACAGCCAACACAGAGAGATACAGCAATGTTGTTGTTGGGCTAAACGACTCGATGGAAAACTTAATGTCCTCGGTCGAGAAAAACGAGTCCGAGATCTCTCCTTCAACTCTGTTTGCTATAGCCTGCGTTCTTGAAAATGTGCCTTTCATAAATGGCAGCCCACAGAACACTTTTGTTCCAGGTAAAACTGCAAACCCGAATCTTGAATTTTTGAAATCATTTTTTCATCACAAAAATTTGGTGTAGGGCTGATTGAGTTGGCCATCCAGAGGAATAGTCTCATTGGTGGAGACGATTTCAAGAGCGGTCAAACTAAGATGAAATCCGTGCTGGTGGATTTTCTCGTTGGAGCTGGTATTAAGGTATAAATAATACTAGTAATAATTAGTATGTTATATGGTTAGTGTATTTGACTTGATGGAAATATATGCTAATAAAGTTAATTTGATTTGGCGTAACTTGACAGCCAACATCTATAGTGAGCTACAACCATCTTGGAAATAACGATGGCATGAATCTATCGGCTCCACAAACCTTTAGATCAAAGGAGATCTCAAAGAGCAATGTGGTGGATGATATGGTTGCAAGTAATGGCATTCTTTATGAACCGGGAGAGCACCCGGATCATGTTGTCGTTATAAAGGTAAATTTGAATTTATGGCCATATTTTTTCGCCATTACTACTGTTTTGGTAAAAAAAAAAAAAATGAACTTTCATTTTTGGATGGTGATTATTAGTATGTTCCGTACGTTGGAGATAGCAAGAGAGCGATGGATGAGTACACATCCGAGATATTCATGGGCGGAAAAAGCACGATTGTGTTGCACAACACTTGTGAGGACTCTCTTTTGGCCGCACCGATTATCCTCGACTTGGTGCTACTTGCCGAACTTAGCACCCGTATTCAGCTCAAGGCCGAAGGAGAGGTTTGCCGTTTTATTTTATTTCCTTGTTAAAGTTTAAGGCTGTGTATTAATTTGGAATTCTTATGGATTTCTTAAATATTTGCTACAACTCTTGGTGATTTAAAGTTAGACTTTTAAGTTGAGGTATTCATTATGATAATTATTGATTTTCATGTGTTCTTGGTGGATTCATATCAATTTTCAGGGCAAATTTCATCCTTTCCACCCTGTGGCCACTATCCTTAGCTACCTAACAAAAGCCCCTCTTGTAAGTACATTTCAAATGACTTCTTTCATTTCCTTTTTGTTCAACATTACATTGCATTTTTACGGTATTTATTATTGAGATCGATTATGAGTTGGGCCTTTTTTTTCTGTTTGCGATAAAAATTAGGTGCCTCCGGGAACACCGGTCGTGAATGCCCTTTCGAAACAGAGGGCAATGCTGGAGAACATATTGAGGGCTTGTGTTGGATTGGCTCCTGAGAACAACATGATTTTGGAGTACAAATGAAACTTAGAAATATGTTATGAATATGTTAGTGTGTTGGAAGATTTGAATTAAGCGACTATTAGTGTTAGGATGTGGTATTTGGCAACTGGTAAGTTTTTATTTGAATTATGTTGCTACGAACTTTATCAACTTACTAGTAATTATATTTTATGCCAGCCTTGGTACTTTTTAAATCTATATCATTAGGTTAAATTAAATTATTTGAACCGCTGGTTCTCCTCAAAGAACAAATAGACATGAAAAGAAGTCCACTACGAGCTGTCTAAAGAAATTAACTATTTTGATAAACAAATAAGTTAGCTTATAGCTTATTTGGTTAGCTTATAAGTTCTCTGTATTTAAATAAGTCTTCTTTGGTAGGACGAATTTTTTTAAAATGTTCGAGCTTATTTGATAAGCTTCTTTAGGTAGCTTTTCAAATAAGCTAATTTATTTTTTCTATTCCAGCTAGCTTATCAACTAATTTTACCAAACACTTTTTATCATATAAGCTAATTTTTTAGCTATAAGTCATAAGCTATAAACTATAAATTTGAAAATTACTGATAAGTTATAAACTAGCTTATCAGCTATCAGTTAGTTTTACTAAACATAGCTTACAACTACAGCTCTCGTGACACAAACTATGATTTATCTATCCTATTACACTATCCTATCCTATCATATCAAAAAGCCAAACAAATCATATAGATCCACCTTTTCAAAAAAATAAAACAAACACCGAAGAAGCATTAATTGGAACAGATCTCCACGCTACCCCCAGCAGCAGACAATTAAAACCCACCGACATAAAAAAACAATTCAAACAAGGAGTGAAATTAGGGAGATTTTACAATCCGGAACCATTTCGTCGGAATTTGTAACCCTTAAATTAAACGAGATTTATAATCATTAGATCAACTATCCATACGGTGACATGATGATGTAACAGTTTTAAATATTGTTGGAATGATTCCGTAACGAAACTGTAACGATTTCAAGTCTCGAGAAACGATTTTACTAGTATAGTATTTCATGTGAAATTAATCAATCATCGACAAATAGAATAAAAAAAATGTCAATTTGTATAAGATGATAATTAATAGTAATAAAAGAAGGCATCTAATCGCATGTGACCACCTCACTTTGCGCCAACCCCACACATCCATAAAACCCACTCTCTCAACCCCACAACACCTCCACTCTTTTCTTCACTCTTCATTCAATTCATCTGAAGAATAAATCCAAAAAAATTAAAATAAAAATAAAAAATGGCAAAAGTTTTACTGGCGCTGATTGCCGTGTGCTTCGTTCCCGCCATTTCCGGCTCCAGAATCGTCGGCGAACCATATATCGTGAAGGGCTCCGTCTACTGCGACACCTGCCGCTGCGGTTATGAGACCGACGCCACTAAGTATATGGCCGGTAATTTACTCTCTCCTCTCTCTCTCTCTCGCTGCGGATATTTCGTGGTTGCTACTGTTCAGATCTGCGGTTTATTTGTTTGTTTTTTCGCGATTTTGATCGATTTTGTTTCGTGAAATTTTGGTGCGATTAATTTGGGAATTCGGTGTAGAGATTATTGGTTTCATTGCCATTCTCTAACACAAGTCGTCATACTTTATAAACAAAAGGGAGATTCTACAGTCCGTTCCGGAATAATTTTGTCGGAGTTTGTAACCGTTAGACACCTATCCATGACGGTTACATATCTGGACGACGAGATAGTTTCGTAATGGGACTGGAGCATTTCCCTAAACAAAAATGTATAGTTGTATGAAAGAAAAATAATACTGTATTTATTCTATAGAACGTTGTAATTTTGTTTATATTATATTCACATGAAATTTCAGTTTGAAATTACGTATATTTGTTGAAAATATGTGAGTCGGTCTAATGGTCGAATCAATTAAGCCGGCTTTTTGTTTATTTTTACACCATAAATTCTTCTTGTGCGAAGCAGTTGGACAACAAAAATGTCATGATAAAACAAGACATTTTATATATGTTAGTTTCCAAAATATATGTTAACTCATAGGGTCTTTAACCTAAACAAGATCGATCGGGTGATTTGATGTTTACAACAGGGGCTACAGTGAGAATCGAGTGCCGGAACAGGGACACGGCCCAGGTGACTTACCGGAGCCAAGAGGCAATAACCGACTCGAAAGGCAGCTACACAATCAAGGTCTATGGGGATCGTGGGGACGATTATTGTGATGTGGTTCTGGTTAGGAGCTCCGACCCGCTTTGCAGCACGCCCAATATGGGTCGTGACCGGGCCCGAGTGATCCTCACGGATAACAACGGCATGACCTCATATGTTCGACACGCCAATAACATGGGCTTCCTTGCAGCTACCCCACTCTCCAACTGTGGCAAGATCCTCATGAAGTACCAAGAAACAGACGTTTGAAAGGGGTCGTTTTTTATTTCTTTAATTCGGAGATTGTTATTAAGATTAGTTGAAACAATCCTTGTTGTGTGGCCTGTTGTTTTGTTCATGTGTTTTGAAATTACCACTTCATGTTTTTTGGTTATGTCTTATGAGTATGTTAATGTAGTTAGAAACAGAACCTCTCTGTTGGTTGGTTAAAGGATGTTCTTTGGTGTTGATGATCTTGAACTTTTAACAATAACCTTATTGTTGGAAAAAGCTTCATGTTGTGTACAACTAAACTATTTTGTATACAAATATATCCGTTCAAAATGAGTTTTTTCTTTTTATAAATTTTAATTAATTTTGAAAAAAATGTATGGTTAGTTGTTATTGAAACTTTGATTTCATATTAAAATAATATTTAAAATAAAATAATTAAATTTAATTTTGATTGAAACTAGGAGAAAGATTGTGTGAAGGGATGGTTATTGGTTAATATTATTTGAGTGGACAAATAATAAATTAAAGTTGTAATAATATGTAAGAAATGATCGTTCGTATTATTTTGTTATACTGATAATATTGGAGATAATGAAATTGAATTAAAGTTGAGTTATAATTTTAAGTATAAATTGAGTATGAATTGAGTTTATTCATATACAAAACACACCCTTAAGCTTCGCTTCTATTGTTCAATCACTAAAACTTTGGACAGTATAATAATTAATCACCTATCTCACATGTTTTATATGATTATGGGAAATTTTATCCGAATAATTGATCTCAAGAATGTATTAGAGTTTCCATTTGTTAATACTTAATACATGAAGTATCATACTCCCTTTGTCCCATAATGCTTGTTAAAGGTGTTATTCGAGCCAAGCACTTTGTGTTCGTCTTGTTAATAAACTGGAGTTTAGCTCGTCTCAGCTTGTCATAGCTATGTCCGGCATGACTTGGTTCAATTTGTTTAACAAACTTAAAATCGTGAACGAGCTTTTTGCATAACAAGTTGTTTGTGTTCGCTGTTTGTTCAAAATCTATCAAAAAAATAAAATGAAAATAAACAAACTATTTGCGAATGAGCTCAATTAGTTGTTCGAGCTTGGCTTGTTTAAACAAAAGAGAGCTTAGCTTGGTTTTACTCATTAATAAACAAGTTTTAATTATTTGTTACTTGTTTAAGTAAATAAATAATAAGCTCGAATTGTGTTAATCGGTTCAAATAAAAGATCTAAATTTACATTTATTTTATTAATAGAGTTTTTTTTGTTGAGAAATTTGCACCCCTTACTTTAAGTTGTGAAATATATTACACTTGTACATTTATTATAGTAATATTTATAAATTTACTAGAATATGAATTAAATATTGCACTTCTACCTAAAATTTATTTTGTTTTATTTTTAATTTCTCTTTCCTCTTTCTTATATTCTTCTTCTCTCTCACTTGTTCCACTTTTCCGTAACTTCCTTCTCCCCCTTTCTTTTTTTTTTTCCCCTGTCTCTTCTTCTTCTCTAATTATTTATGTATTTTTTTCTTTTTCAAATTCACAGACACAAAACTCCAACCATCCTCCACAATTGTTCGTCGGGGGTCCTCCTCCTGGAATCCCACTGGGTCTTGTCGCGACTGTTCGAGACGGCGGATACCCAAGGAGTGGAAGCACGGGTGCGAGACGTTTACTCGCTGCAGATTTGATTATTATTATTATTATTTTATTTTTTTTTTTGTGGATGATGACCTATGGGATTGATATTTGGTTGAGTCAGGTTGCTTTATGCTTGTGACTCAACTCTACTGACTATTGGTGGATATTAGAGGAGACTATAGAGGGTTTCGATTGAAAGTTTTGTTGATTTTTTGTATTTCGATAGATTTCTGAGTTGGGTATATGTTGGGTATATTCGAGTATATCCGAAGTAACTTTTCTCTGGTTATCTGTTTAATAATTTTTTTTCTTCTTGGGTTATATGTTGGGTATATCCGAGTATATCCGAAGTAACTTTTCTCTGGTTATCTGGTTATCTAGTGGGTATATCCGAGGTAACTTTTCTCTCTATCCGAAGTATCTTTTCTCTTTCTATGCTATACATTTTGTCACTGACTTTCTGCACATGTTACACATTTTTAGTATATTTGAAATATATTTTTGGTGTATGTCAGGTAACTGAATATATACACTGAATATATAGTAACATACACTGTTGCGTGAATCAAGGAATTAATAAATGAATCAGTTATTATTTTTCTTTTCTCTCTCTTAATCAAGTCCACAAAAAGGGGGATGAAAGTTGAATATATATGGTAACTGCTATTGATGCAATCTCATAAATAAATTAGCTTCATCAGGTATAATTGAAAATAATTTCATATGAAGGTAAATTTGAAAATATTTGTATATCTAACATGGAGCAGCATCACAGTCGGACCATTCAGCTTTAAAATTACAAAGCCCATCGAGGTTAGCCCATATCTCTTCCTAGATGATAGGCCCAATTTTCAAAACCGCAATCCTACAAACAACACCGAAAACGACGTCGCCGCCTTCGTCCCCAACCTCCGGAAGGCCGCTGGACCACCTTTCTCCGGTCCTTTGAATTTTGAAAACCAAACTCCGACTATTTACAGGTAGCCATTTATGAGCCTTTATAGCTTTATTGCGTTGCTTTCTCTTCGTCTCGAAGCTTTTCTAGGCCTGTGAACTCATATATGACCTGGTAATAACAACTCGACGTTTGGCTACAATGTTTCGATCTGTTTTGTTCATTGATGTTTTTCTTGGTTTGTCTGATAAATTGTCTGTGAATATGATGAGCAGAAATGCATAATACTTATCAG